AGATGAGGTGGCCGCTATGGGCTTAAGGGTATGTTATGCTTACTTTCGCTTTTCCCTCGCCTTTCTTGATGATACGATTCTGATCCGTCTTCACATTTTTTCAGACGTATATGATGGAAGTGGAAAGCATTCGCAGGGCCAACATTCGGGCCAAGATTTTCTTGAAGATGTTGGAGAAATATCGTCGCTATCACAACAAGTGCCGCGAGATGCATGAGCGGCTGAGGGTAAACCCGGGTGATCGGGCTCTTGGTGAGGAGTTGGAGAAAAGGGACCAGGAGTTGATGCAAGCTATCCGTAGCAGGAGTGTGCTTGAGGAGCCGCTTCGAATGAAGGACGAGGAGCTCGAGTTGGGTAAGGGAGCCGCCGCAGAATGTGAGCATCTGTAGGAGAGATTGAGGTCAATGCAGTCGGAGATAGATCAGAACTTGATCAAGGTCGAGGCGATGGGCATGGAATGGATTGGGAAATTGACCGCGCTGGAGAGCAAGGTCGCTTGGTTGGAGAGCATCGAGAGTGCTTGGTCTGCGGATTCGGCGAGGGCAGCGACCTTGGATAACACTATCCGCATCTTCCTGTCCAAACAGGAGTCGGAAAGAGCGATGTCTACCCTCATGGAGGCAAGGCTCGAGGAGCGCATCAGCGAGATTGATCAAGAGGCATCGGTTCTAGGAGATCGGGTCGCAACACTGGAGGTAAAAAAATGGGCGATTGTTGGCTCAAATTGAATCTTCCTCCACCGTCGTTCGATCGAGGTCGAACTCTTCTCTTTTGGCGAAGGCCCTTGGCCTTAAAAGGGTGTTATTTCAAACTTATCGAAATAGTAACCCGTCGTCATTCGATCGAGGTCGAACTCTTCTCTTTTTGGCGAAGGCCCTTGGCCTTAAATGGTGTTATTTCGAACTTATCGAAATACTAACCCGTCGTTAGTCCCAATTTTTTGAGAGCAGGATATCTTCTGGGAGAGTCCCAAATCATTTGACATTGCTCGCAACGGAGGATGCTGCGTTGGAGAATGTGAAACGTTGTTGTTTCGCTTAGGTTCGTTCTATGCACATATTGTAGTTTCCTTGTCTGTCTCTCGCCTTCTGGCTTGGGAGTATCACAGTTGTTTTGCAGTGGTTTTTCGTCCTTTTCACTGAGGTGTTTCTTTATTCGTTCGCCTGCGCGGCCTTTGTGTCCCTACTTGAGCAGAGAGCAGAAGGTGAGTTAGAGTGATACTTTCCTTGCCCCCGTCCGGTTGTCCGATGGAGGAGAACAGGTTGGTAACGTTTTTCGTCTTGTTTGGCATATCGATGGTTGATGGGGCAAAGATTTCTGAGTTTGGTAATTTTGCTGGCTTTCCTCCCCCTACCGCACTGCGCCTTTGACTTGCGTGGATTGGGTTTTTCCTTCGCGCTACTTTTGGTGGGTGATCGTATTTCTTGCCTTTGATCTGGGAGAGACTAGGAAATTTCACTAAGAAATCCCCACAGACGGCGCCAAATTGTTTGACTCAAAAGATATCGAAACCTTTTTAAACAAATCAATCAAAGGAGATGAAGGGGTAAATCTTAGTCAGACATAATTAATCCCAGATCAAAGAGCTAATAACATAGATCGTGTATAAGATAAAAGAGATGTAAATGATCTTATTGAAATTCTATATTGTGTCTCCCATCGATCGATGGGGAGAT